TCCCTACACAATGTGTATTTGACAAGAATAAAACACATCGTCAAATTTTAATTGAAAGCATTATTATTGCTGTTTTCCATAGAAATCAGTGTGTATTTAACAAACTATAAATGTCTTCTTTTTTTTTTTTGCTAGTATTTAACTGAAATGTCTAATTGAAGTACTTAATTGAAATGTCTGAAACCTAAAATAAAATTTATGTGGTTGAAAACACTGAACAGTTGTGATATATGAAAAGCACTGAGCACATCTTTCTCTGGCTCAGCATCAGCCTAAGCGCGGCGCGTCAAAGGGTTAAAATCAATCGCATTTCGGGGGTGGAGGGGCGACAAATTGAACCTAGATGTTCTTATTATTATTATCTTTTATTCTTATCTATTATGATCTTAATATATTATAATATAACCTTTTACTTAGCTAGTTTTAGATGAAAGTTTTTGTCTTGTAAAAATAAAAATAACTGTGCAAAAATAAATTTCCTGGGTATATAATTTTGCAATAAAAATAAGCTTCTGTTTCATAGACTTGGTACTGATAACAGCTTAACATTATTTAAATCAGCCCATCTTTGGGGTCTTTGAAATTATATTCCAACAACATTATGCCTCAATTAGCTAGCAATAGATTAAGAGTTGTTGTTTTTGATTTACAGATGGCTTGCTGCTGTGTTTAATAATTGATGTTGTTAAAATAACATTCTGGGCTGCGTTTCCCAAAAGCATCGAAAGCCTAAGTTGATCATAGAACCATTGTCACCAATGCAGTTACGATCAACTTAGGTTTACGATGCTTTTAGGAAACGCAGCCCTGTTCTGTAAATGCACTGTCTGCTGGTTTATTTAGCTACTTTTCAGTACACCACATTAAGTATGCCACTTAGTACTGTAAGACTTTGAATGTTAAAGTGCAAATTAACACCTGGCCACGCATGTGAGTTTGCTACTGTTACAATTAAAAATCGTAGAAGGGTAAAAGCATAACAGGCAGACACTGGTATGATGTAAGCAACACAGATACAACAAATAAAATTGTTAATGGGTGTGTTAGATTTATAGTGTGTGAATAATCGAGCATTGACAATAATCAGTCGTATTGGCAGCACCGAGAGGCCCCCAAATATAATTCTGCTTAGGGCCCCATAAAGGCTTGGGCTGGCCCTGCTCCCCAACAATGTATTTTGTACATTACCGCTTTGAATATGTTTTGCACAAGGTTCTACGTCTTACCTCTGGCACACCACAACAAACCGACATCACACCAACACTCACAAACCGTAAGAACCAGAGCTGGGCGCCGCGACCATTAACACATCATACTAACACACACAGCGGGTGGAATGTTCTGACATTTGAAAAAGTAAATCTCTGCTTGTGATTATGCAACCCAAAAACAAACATCTAGCAAATAAAGCCAAACAATGACAACAACGAAAAAAGAAAAGAAAACAGCAATTCCTCTTAGAGATTCTTCAGGAACAACACTTCCAGCTTTTAATTTTTTTTAGAGTCTAATATCAAAATAAATGTTTCACTCTTAATTTTTTAGTGCATGCTCTTATTACTTTATCAGTTGCTCCAAAAAAATTCTCAAAGGAAGAAAGGCACGAATATAAAGAAAGATAGAGAGGAAGGAAAAGAGACATGGAGGGATAATGAGATGAATACAGACGAGAAGTGGCAGAAAAGAGAAACGGAATTGGATGGAATGAGAATGAGAGGAATGGCGGTGTTGAATCTGGCAAGCACTTTGTCATGGTTATGATAAAGGCAACACCTCCTACCTGGCTATGCATAAATTTGAGATTGATGCCTTCCAGCGTGACCTGAAGGAGACCACCCTCCCCTGTCTTCATGTCCTGTACTGGAAACTCGCCTCCCAGCTCTGGACCTACACACATGGAAAAACGCACATGGCAGTGAGGGATAAAAAATACTTTGTTTATTCCAACAACAAGAAGCAGAAGATTATACATCCAAATTTCAGTTAAAATGGGCCACTTTTTTGGCAGTCATCTCAATGAAAGTGCCCCAATTTATTTACAGTTCAGGGTCAGTAAGATTTTTTAAAGAAATTATAATAGAATTATAATATATTATAATTGTAATATAATAATTATTATAATACTTTTTATTCAGCAAGGACACAGTAAATGGTTTAAAAGTGACTGTAAAAATGTTACAAAAGATTTCTATTTTGAACAGCACCTTGAAAAATCCTTAAAAAAGTATCAAAAAATATTCCACAAAAATATTAAGCAGCACAACTATTTTCAACTCTAAAAAAAATAAATAAATAAAAAAAAATAAGAAATATTTCTTGAGCACCAAATCAGCATATTATAATGATTTCTAAAGGACCACATGACACTGAATACTGGAGTAATGGCTGCAGAAAATTCAGCTTTACATCACAGGAATACATTACATTTTAAAATGGATAAAAAAATAAAAAAAACAGTTACTTTAGTTTACTGTATTTTGGATTAAATAAATGCAGCCTTAGTGAGCTTTTTTCCAAAATTATTATAAAAAAATAAATTAAATAAAAAAACCTTATAGACCCAAAACTTTTGAATGGTTGTGTACAAAGATGCACAATGTACCTGGTTTAATGCTTTGTTGTCGTGCGGCAGCACGCTCCATGCTGTCTTTAACACAGTAGTACAGTTCTCGACACTTAACACACAGGAACGGAGAAAGAGAAGTAGTCATTGATTCCAATTTACACTGACTATACTGAAACAATACAAACTTTCTGAATTGAGAACGAGACTGTCACATTTTGAAGTATGTGGTGTGTGTGTGTACTACAGTATGCCTTTACTTTGATGTGTGTCTTACCTTCTTGGTGTAGAACTTGTTAAGCTGTGTCTCTTGACCGTTCCTCCTCCACAGACACAACACTTTGGTCTTGGGGCAGTAGGTCATATTTATGAGCTTCTCATACCACCAGCGCTCATAGACTGTGCCGATGTTACTGCGCAAGACGATGCAGTCATCACACACCTAAGCAAACACAAGGATGAGGAAAGGAGGACCGAATGTTCATTTACAATATGTTTTCATGAAGACTGGCTAAATGAAATAAAAAATGAGGGACACGGGCTCATACCTCCATGAAAAATATATCACCAGTTGTATCAGTCCCCGCATGCACAACAAATGTCTGCTTCTTAATATGCCGGCTGCCACTTGGCCTGATGAGAAGCTCCCGACCACTCTGCAACAAAACACACAATCTGTCAACCACTCATCACCTAATTCTGATATGTTTGGCTACTGGTTTACATGCAATAGCTGTAACTCTTCATCTAACTGGCTCTTACCAAATGTGCAAGGCGGTCCAGGACCTCATTGATCTCCTGACTGTGTGAGAGGCCAATGTGAGATTTCCCCATAAGACGCCGTACCTTCTTCCTGATGTCATTTTTATCGACCTAGATAAATGTAACAGTAAGAGTTAACATTAATGTTAATCAATATTTCTGTGGAAGCCGTAGTGCATTTTTTTCCAGAAGACTTTGATGAACAAAGTTCAAAAGAACATAATTTATTTGAAACATAAATCTTTTTTGACATTATAAATGTCTTTACTGTCACTTTTGATCAAGTTAATGCATCCTTGCCAAATACAACAATTGATTTCTTATAAAAAAATATAACTGACCCCAAACTGTTCAATGCTAGTGTATGTATACATACACTGCTGTTCAAAAGTCTGGGATCAGTAAGATTTGTAATGTTTTTCATAAGAAGTCTCTTCTGCTCATCAAGGCTGCATTTATTTGATCAGAAATACAGAAAAAATAGTATCATTGTGAAATATTATTGCAATTTAAAATAGTTTTTTATTTTAATATGCTTTAAAATATTATGTATTCCTGTAATGCAAATCTGAATTTTCATCATCATTACTCCAGTCTTCAGTGTCACATGATCCTTCAGAAATCATTCTAATACGCTGATTTAATATCAATATTGGAAACAGTTGTGCTGCTTAATATTTTTTTTTGGAACCTGTGATACTTCTTTCAGGATTCTCTGATGAATAAAAAGTTAAAAAGAACAGCATTTATTCAAAATAGAAATCTTTTGTAACAATATACACTACAGTTCAAAAGTTTGGGGTCAGTCATTTTTTTTCTTTTCCTTTTTCTTTGAAAGAAATTTATGCTTTTATTCAGGATGTGTTAAATTGATTCAAAAGTGATAATAAAGACTTATATTGTTAGAAAATATTTAACTTTATTCATCAAATAATCCTGAAAAAAGTATCACAGGTTCCAAAAAAAAATTGGAGCAAAACTGTTTCCAACATTGATAATAAATCAGCATATTAGAATGATTTCTGAAGGATCATGTGACACTGAAGACTGGAGTAATGGCTGATGAAAATTCAGCTTTGCATCACAGAAATAAATTATATTTTAAAGTATATTAAAATAGAAAGACATTATTTTAAATGGCAATAATATTTGACAATATTACTGTTTTTTCTGTATTTATGGTCAAAAATGCAGCCATGATTAACAGAAGAGACAAATCTTACTGATCCCAAACTTTTGAACATCAGTGTATAAACGTAATAATTTGGAAACACCAAATGGCTGAATATATGTCACAACTGAACTGTTCACTTTAAAAATATCCATATTCGCTTAAATATACGTGAAATAATGAGTGAGTGTTTGTATATACCTTCAACATAAGCATGTAGGCGATCATGTTATGCAGAAGAGTGGCCAGTAGTCTATCCTCATCGTCCTCCAGTCTCTTGCGGTCATGCTCTCCAAGAGACAGATACCTGAGAGACCACAGCACAGTCACATTTAGACAACATAAACAAAACACAACAGCACAGATAACATCTGATTCCTAGCATGACTAAATAGCTTATAGCTTAAAAGCATTCCAATGTGTTGTTCATTCTCCCGGAGCGGAAAATGTGAAAGGCATTTCTGCACTGTCAGATGGGTGAAATTTGTATAAAAGCATGTGAACAACCAGTATGCATTCTGCATTCTATCAGTAAGGTATGTAAACTTCTGAGATCAGAGGATTATGAATGAAAGAAATTCATTCTGAACTAGTTATGCAGATGTTTTTCAATTTCATTTTGTGTTGCTTTCGATTCAGTGTGAACACTTAGGTAGGCATTTAAAGAATATACCAACCTGTCAATCATTTCTTGAGGTCCCTGATCCATCCCCATTCCTTCCCTTTCCAACATAACGGCATCCAGGTAGGCATCCTCCCAGAACTGCATCTGATCCCACAGAGTAGAGCGCTCCTTACCTACCCATACACACATATTTTCACTCTTAACTTGAGTAAAACAGTATTTCAATTCAACATGCCAGCATAAAACACTTCTTATTGTAAATGCCAGATGTTCAAGACATAGCCATAAAAACTAGAATAAATGAGTATTAAAATAAAACACCCTCCATAAATTAACAAACAGAAAGAGACCTCAAGCACCCAAAGCAACTGCATGCTGTAATAGATAGAGCTTGCTATCAAACCTTATGAAATTAATTTTAACACGGAGATAACACACGCCTCCATACATCTGCTTATTGTTTTAGCATTCACATTCTCTCAAGCAGCTTTTATCACCCCTCAATTTCACACAAACACATTAAATTACAAAATAAAGTTGGCGTATCTGCTCCGTCTGGCTTGTGTATTTTAATTCTTTCTTCATGCAAACAGTACCATGCACACACCAATAAATTCAAATATATTTAATTTCATGGAAAAAATAAAAAACACCCTACATGCTCCTTTACAAGACTTAAACACAGTCACAGTATGGATGTAAGGGAAGGCATGTAGTGTCTAATACTACAACTTCACAATCCCAAAATACACACATCCCAAAGGTCAAAGGCAGAATTCAGCCATACTCAGAGAAAAGGTTTCCATGGCAGCATCCTCCAGTTGGTCCCAAACTGAGCTTTTATCTCGCCCTTTGTGGCATTAAACGAAAGGAGAAAAAGAAAAAAGAGGAAGAGGGAAAAGGCGGCAGAGCACAAGGCAAAGAAAGTGTTAGAAGCGAAGCTGTGTGCTGTCAGAGATAGGCAAACCAATAATTCATCACACGATGGTTAATATGAGGACATATTTGGAGCTCAAGAGCAAACAGCAAATTAACAGAACACTTTACAAAGCTCTAGTGGTCAGAACATAAGCAGGATTTACAGAATAAACTGTTGCAATCATTAGGATAAAGTCAGTAATAAAGAATTGTATTGTGCAGCAGATATGTTATTACAATTTTAAAATGTTGAGGTTATGGAAAACCAACAGAGACAACTTTTGGAAATACCGCATCATTTTAATGAACACAGACATTAAAAAAATATGCCAGAGTTTATTACTAAAGCAGTGAGAACGGACATGAAAGAAGAAAGGAAACAAAATGAATGAAAGGAATGTTGAATGGATTAAAAAAAGAGGAATAACTCTTACCCAGCAGCCCCTCACACAGATAGATCCTCATGCTAACATCCTCGAGGGGCGGAGCTGGTGTTCCCTTATTAACACCAACAGGTTCCTTCACTCCTGGCTTCAGCTTATGAGTCTTGCCCTATATGTGTGACATTGACCACCATGTTCATATTCATTATTTTATTATCTTTCATTATCTTTCATTTGATCAGATGCAGTGAAGAGAATGACTAAAACAGAGAGAACTACTCACAAACACAGAGCTGGTCGCAGGGTTGGTCTCAATCTCGCTGTCAGACAGTGTGCCACGGGACAGGTTGAGATGTTGAGCATGTCTTCCTGTCAGGCCGTCTCCAGCAGTGCTGCTCAGGTCGCTGTCTGCACCCAGCGTCTCACCTGAGCTGTTACTCACCTGCAGATCCAAGGTCAGACATCAGCAATAGCACAACAATCAAGAGGGATTATGCGGCTTCTCAATGGGTTCGTTCATTGTAAAATGAAAAATCGAAATGTTGTTTAAAATCAGCATGATTTTTCTGGGAGACGAAATTAAGCTGATTGTTTACACTAATGTTTAAAAGTTTGGAGTTGTTAAGATATTTTTAATGTTTTTGAGAAAAGTCTGCTACCCAAGGCTGCAATTATATTATATAAAATATAATATTAACAGCAATATTGTGAAATGTTATTACAATTTAAAATAACAGATTTCTAATTTAATACATTTTAAAACATAATTTATCCCTGTGAGGGGAAAGCTGAATTTTCTGCAGCTATTACACCAGTCTTCAGTTTCACCTGATCCTTCAGAAATCATTCTAATATGCTGATTTGGTGCTCATTACACATTTGTTATTGTTATTCTTTGATTAAAATAAAGTTCAAAGGAACAGCATTCATTTGAAACATAAATAAGTAACTTAAGAAACTTAAGCATGTCTTTATTTTCACTTTTGATCAATTAAATGCATCCTTTCTGAATAAAAAGTCGTGGCCTAATGGTTAGAGAGACGGATTCGTAACCCAAAGGTTGCGGGTTCGAGTCTCGTACCGGCAGGGATTGTAGGTGGGGGGAGTGAATGTACAGCGCTCTCTCCCACCTTCAATACCATGACTGAGGTGCCCTTGAGCAAGGCACCGAACCCCCAACTGCTCCCCGGGTGCCGCAGCAAAAAATGGCTGCCCACTGCTCCGGGTGTGTGTTCACGGTGTGTGTGTTCACTGCTGTGTGTGCACTTTGGATGGGATAAATGCAGAGCACTAATTCCAAGTATGGGTCACCATACTTGGCCACACGTCACTTCACTTAAGTTTTAATTTATTAAAAAAAAAAAACTATTGACCCCAAACTTTTGAAAGGTAGTATATAAATCAAAAGTGACTCAATTGACTGAAAGCTTCAAGCTTGAGCTGTATTCCAAGTCTTTTGAGGAGAGACTGGATCCTAAATAATTTATTCAGAGAAAATATTCAAATATCAGATTCAGAACACCTGAAAGATAGCATCTGCGTTGTATGGACTACTGTTATGCTCATTCTGCTTAAAGTCTAATTTTGTGGTCTATAGAAGAAAGAAAATATCAAGTTTGGATTGAACAGGGGATAAAAGTAAATTATGAAAGAATTTTCATTTTTAAGTGAACTATCTATAAACACAAACACTACACTACACTACACAAACACAAACAGAAAGTAACAAACTTGTCTATAATGCAAGATAGAAATAAATAGATTTTTGGTATGGCCACAACAATAAGTCTGTAAAAAACTGTGAAACAAAACTGTCTGTGGGAACTACATATGATCTGGATCAACAGGAGTGTATTTTAAGGAAAGGATTGCAGTGTCTCTGTAATGGCCGTGCCCTACCACTGTGCTAGCCTCTGAGTCCTGGCTGGTGCTTCGCGTCAGAGCAGGAGGCTCGGAGCTCGCCAGGGACTCCGTATCACTCTTCTGCAGAGGAGACGAGCAAGAAAAAGAGATGAAAAAAGGAAATTATGAACAATATGAACAATAGTATGTACAGGTATATTTAGATGCATTAAATTTCAAAATAAAATAGTCAAAGTTGTAAGATTTATATTGTGATATAAGGTTAAAACCCACCTGTGAGCCAGACGTCACACTGAGGCCGCTGTCAGCACTGATCTGTGATTTCTTTTCCTCAGTGTCTCCACCTTCCAGACGCTGTTTTCCTCCATCAGCCCCTGTAGAAAGCACATAATCAGCTCTTCCATCCATTAACTCTCTGCGCTGCATTTTGGGACGTCACATGACTAACAGCGAGCTGAAGCCATCTCTGTTCTGGAGAGTGACATAACCGTTATCGATTTCACAGAGGGGAATAATGCCATTCAGCCGGCTGCCACTCATTAGACTACGCAGGTAAGGCAGAGAAAAACAAATAATGCTTGCGGTCATATTGGGGAAACTCACAGAAGCAGATCAGCTGACAGTGGGCCAGATCAGTTCACAGTAGCGCTAGGTATCACAGACACACAGACAGAAGCAGTCACACATGCAGGCAAACACAGTCAATCCATCGGACAGGAGGAAGCTTCAGCTACAACTAGCGTACTCACTGCTTCTTAAATGAAGAAACCAATATTGCGATTGCAAACCCCAACTTGGTTAAATTACGCTGTACCGTATGAGGCATCAGGAACAAAAGAAATATAATAATACTAAAGCTGTATTCTAAATCTTCCACAGTGAAATCAAAGCGAAATTAGTGGCTTTTTCAGCATTTTCTTCACAGATGCATGTGGTCTTTGAAACTCTAACAAGATTCTTTGAAATTAATTCAATACTCGACTGAAATAAGTAACTGAAATGTGCCATAATGTAGTTTATCTCACATCTCATACTTGCATCAAAATATAGTAAGATCATTAAGAAATTAGGTGGAAAACCAAAGACAACACCGTGTTCAGTCATCGAGAAGTAACTGTAAGACGAACTGCGCTTCAAAAATCATCAGATTTTCATTTATTTACACCACCTGACAGCAATGAAAAAATAAATAAATGTAGGAACTCAAAAAAATTTAAAAAATCTAGGTGCGTGTGGGATAAATCTATTCCATCACGGTTGAAAAAATGTGAATGCTTTCAAGAAAAGTCGCCAAGGTAAAAACAAAGCAAACCAGTCAAGAATAGGGATGAGCATGAGTACTATGAAGTGAAAGCATTGATTAATTAATTGATCGTTTTGTGATTGGTTACAACAGTATATCGGGATGGTATCTTGTAGTCTGATTGCTCTGATTGGACGCCACCTACACACAGAGACTGACTTTCAGTCCGCATCAGAAACGACACTCATCACACTGAGTGTATACACAGGGACACATTCTAGCACAGGGATCTTGCATTGCATTTTTAAAAGAACTATACTAGACAAAAAAAATTGTACAGCAAATCTTAAAAAACACTCGGCTCATGGCATGAGATGCTTAAAAAAAAACAGAAAGATGTGATATAAAAAAGTGCTCAGTTCCCACCCAGAGTTCTGAAGTAGCCCAAGCTGATATGTGCGAAGTACTCAAGCTGTCAAAATGACCAAAATGCACATCCCTAGTCAAGAGCTGGATTTGCACACTTAGAAATACTGGCCCAAATACTGATTTAATTTCAATATAAGCTAAATCTTTATGTGTACAGGACTTATTTTTAAACCTCAAAATTGACTGAATGGATTGCAAATTTTAACTTTGCAACTTTATACCTCGCTCCTTTTAAATAAATGCAATTTATTTGTTGACAATGTTTGGGCCACATGTCTAAATGGACTTTTTGAAAAGTAGTTGAATATCTGGGGGCAGATTCTGTTTCTCCCCACAATAGAAAGTGGTTTAAGGGAAGAGGACTGGTGCAGGTAGAAGGACAGAGTCCCTGTTTTGCAGTTCTGCAAAGGAAAGTCTAAAAACTTTTTTTTTTTTTTTTTTTTTTTTTTTAAGAGAAAAATAATAAAAAAACAAATAGAACTGAACAAGTGCAAAATCTAATTTTTCAAAACAAGGATGTTTTGCAATGATCACACAGCCATATGCAAGCTAAATGAAGGATCTGATGTCATGTAAAACCATCCAATCATTTAAAGCTAATGGAGTCCCATTACAAAACATCCTAAGCTCTGCTTAGCCCTGTTCCTGAAGAGCCAAAATGATGGATTTCACAAAATCAGCCTCATGACTCGGTTTTCTTTCCCCATTCTTGTCATCCATAATGGGAAATGGCTCTCCAAGGCGAGGGTGGATGGCCTGGGAGATGCAAAAGGTGTGAGATGAGGACGACAAATCAGCCTCACAGCTGGTGGGTGAAATGAGGTGTTGCAAAAGCAGGGGGTGCAGTCTCAAAGACATTCCGTAGAATTGCAGGTGCATTATTACCAAAGGACAGACAAGGCAAGGTTATGAGGGTTGGGCATTGGAGAGGGTGAACGGTCCCCTGTACACAGACCCAGATATGACTGCCAATCAGAGACCTGGGCCTAAAAATCCACAAGCCATTTCAGACATTTTTAATGTAAGCAGACGTCTGTGGTCATTATAGGACTGTTAACAGGGGAGGCAACAGCTCAGGTCCCTTTTAAAGAGAGTAGTGGTACAGTCCAAGACCTTCACCGTCCCACTATTTCACTCTTAGCTTAGCTGCAGGTCTTTCACTAACATGCATCCAATGGATTTAAGGGAAGTCAGGACTGGCATACAGGATTTGAAAAAAACACACGTTGAACATTCCAGAAGAAGTCTACATAAACTGGGTTCATACCAATCACAATATTCCACTAATGTGTCTACACCAACCAATGCCACCTTAAAATATTTGTTGGCTTCAAAAGCTACGGAACTGGAGAATTTGACAACTGTTTTTGGAAGGATCACTCATACTACAATGTTTAAAGGAATATTTAAACCAAAAAAAAAAAAATTCGGTCATTATCTGAGCCTTATGTCATTCCAAACCTGTATGGAACACGAAAGTAGAAGCAGAAGTAGTAAAAGTAGAAGTAGATATTAAATTTGTTTTCTGTCCATCAATGAAGGGTCCAGTGCAATGTTTTAGACCCCAATGACTTTCAAAACATCTTTTTTTGTATTCCACAGAAGATAGAAAGTCATACAGGTTTGAAACAGCATGAGGATGAGTAAATTATGGCAGAATTTTCATTTTCTGGTAAAAGAACTCTTGAGCCAACTTAGGTCTTAACTTCTGACACAAAGTCGGTGTAGACAGTTAATGAAATAGAGGATGCGGCCCTAAGGGACAGGTGGCTCCCAGAGAGCTCAGGGAACGTAACAAGCAGCGAGAAGGGGGCCATGCAATGGGGACTGCGGTTTACACACCAATGGAGGCAATAAAATTCTCCTCGTTCAGACTCCGGGTATCAAACTGCCGTGACGATTTCTCAGTGGAGGGTGGTGGCAATTGGATACGGGGTACCAGGAGCACACCTGCCGCCCTGGCGCTCTCCATTCGGCCCGATGGGCTCTCCTTACTGCCTGGGCTGCTAACACCCTCCATGGAGCTCCGTTTCCGCTTCTCTGGGTCTGCGAGCCACAAGTGGGCCCCGAGGAAATGGAGCACGGGAAAAAGGAAGAAGAGGAAACAGCAAAGACACATGGAGACAAAAAGGATAGAAGTTAAATTTGAAGGTAGGTTACAGGTGATTTCTCCAAACAGGTAGGAAAAAAATGCTGAAACCCAAGGATATGTAAAAGTGTCTGACACCAAGATTCACACGGCTGTGAAGAGGAACAAGAACCTTCTAGAAAGCAGAAACTCTTTGTGTTGGTATATATCTATTGCTCTGAACGCAGGCAGAAACCATGTTTGATGCTAAACATTAACAAAAAATTTCATTTGGACATTCGAATGAAAGTTACCTTTGGTTTGGTAGTGGGTGCGTGCTATCTCTAGCAGACTGAAGACACTGGCCATGCCTCCCAGGCCAGCATTAGTGTATGAGTGCTCCAAACTGGACACTGTGCACTTCAATAGGTCCAACATGCCTTTGTATACCTTCCTGTTTATCTCCTATATAAACAGGCACACAAAACCATATAATAAATAAAACATAAGTCAAAGTAGAGTTTTGCTTCAGTTAAGCATCAACTGTTGTTTTATTCGTCACTCCAACTTACCACATCTCTTATAACTTCCTGCTGAGCGTCCTCCTCTGATTGGACCACACGGTTGAGTTTGCTGAGCACAAAGACTCGCAGCTGTTCATTCTCTAGCAGGCGGCGTACCTTCTTCATGTTGAGCCAACCCACACCCTGCCCATCGAGCACGCTCTGGACCACCTCCTTAAGAAACTGCTGGTTCTCACTGCACAGCAAAAAGAGGAAGAGCCACATATTCACTTCACAGGCACTCAACAGAGCACAACAGAAGGGATAAAAAAAGTACAAATCCCATTAATTTTTTGCCATAAAAGTATTTATTTTTTGTAACAATTTTGTTGTTCTGAGGTTATAAATTAATGGTATATTTTTAACAATACCTATATTTTTAACAATATCATTTAGGGTATCATGACAGAATGATTAAAAAAAAAAAGTATTCTTTTTATTTAGCAAAGATGCATTATATTACTAAAGAATTCCATTTCAAATAAATGCTGTTCTTTTGAACTTTCTATTCATCAGTGTCCTTTAAACATTAATAATGAGAAATGTTTCTAGAGCATAAATTCAGCAAATTAGAATGATTTCTGAAGGATCATTCTAACATGACAGCTTTGCCATCACAAGAATAAATTACATTTTAAAATATAACTTCAAACAGAAAAGAACCATGCATGTATAAATTGATAATGTATGTACAATGTATTTCTAAATATTATTTATATAAAAAAATATTTTATATTATTATATTATTTGTATTTAAATTAAAAGTACTAGTGGGTGGTCACCATTGTACTCTTGTTATACAGTGGTGTGAAAAAGTGTTGGCCCCTTCCTGATTTCTTTCTTTTTCCGGAGAGAATCGTAAATCTGTATCTTTCTTTTATAAATATGATAAAACTAAAGACTTTTTGGAGATATGAAGGATGCAGTACTACTCTATAGGTACTCAAGATTAACATGAGATTGGGTGAAACTGTGTGTGTTATGCCCCCTTTAAGAGACAGGTGAACTGCTCCGAGCACCAGGCAGATCCAGGCAGGTCATCAGGTACCTTTTCAGTGTCTGCCCAGGCATGGAATGCTGGGTGACCATTGAACAAGGCTGTGCTCCACCAGAGGGCCAGCTTTTTTTTTTCCACTTCTAGGCATTTAGGATTCTTTGATGAGTGGAAATTTGACAATAACAGCCCTTTTTTTTCATTTAAGATTTTTTAACGTTTTTTTTGTTGTTGTAATCCTTTTGAAATCTTTTATAAATATCTCTGCTGTCACCTTTGATCAATTTTAAGCAACCTTGCCTTATAACAATATTAATTTATACAATTTTTTTTTTGAATGGTAGTGTATTAAAAGGGTTTTAAGAGGGCTAGAAATAGTTGGTAGTGTCTACATTCCCTTCAGCCATGACTATATTCAAAATATAGCACTGGCTCGAGTACCTTACAGTTTCCCCCGCCAAATGGTTACTAGACAATAAAAATATTAATATAATACTAATATAAAAAAGATGTATTATTTTATTACTATTATTGTTACTGTTACTATATCATGCACAGCTAGAACACATCCAGGAATGATTTGTTTAATATCTGGGTAAAAACATCTGATAAACCTCAAGAGCAGATTTACATCCATTCTAAATCATAAACATTGTGAAAACAGCTGAATGTCATTCCAACATCGGACAGGGAAGATTACATTTTCTATAACAGTTGCAAAAACAGTCTAAAAAATCTTAAAGGTGCATTACTGGACCAACAAACTGTGAAGAAGCTAAAACCAGTTTCAGTTTGCCTTCTTAACACAGTAGATTGACCTCAAATATAGAGGTTTAAGATTTTTTTTTTTAAATCAACATTTGTCAAGTCAAGTCAAGTCACCTTTATTTATATAGCGCTTTTAACAATACAGATTGTGTCAAAGCAACTGTACTGCATTAATTAGGAAAATAGTGTGTCAATAATGCAAAATGACAATAGTAAACACTAATTTTTCAGTTAAAGACAGTTCATCATTGAATTCAGTGATGTCATCATCCAGCTCAGTTCCGTTTAAATAGTATCTTTGCAATCATTTGCAATCAAGTCAACGATATCGCTGGAAATGAAGTGTCCCCAACTAAGCAAGCCAGAGGCGACAGCAGCAAGGAACCAAAACTCCATCGGTGACAGAATGGAGAAAAAACCTTGAGAGAAACCAGGCTCAGTCGGGGGGCCAGTTCTCCTCTGACCAGACGAAACCAGCAGTTCAATTCCAGGCTGCAGCAATGTCACATTGTGCAGAGGACTCGTCTGGTTCCTGCACAGGGGGGCAAACACTTCTTCACACAGGGCCATGTAGTTTTGGATTTTGTTTTCCCTTAATAATAAAAACCTTCATTTAAAAACTGCATGTTGTGTTTACTTGTGTTATCTTTGACTAATATTTAAATTTGTTTGATGATCTGAAACATTAAAGTGTGACAAACATGCAAAAAAATAAGAAATCAGGAAGGGGGCCAACACTTTTTCACACCACTGTATATGCATGATAGCACTACTTGTAGTGTTTTCTTACTTGGAGTAATCACATCTGCTTGCATTTTTCTAATTCGCAATATCCTTCAGATAAAAGTGCCTAAATGAATTAATATGAGCGTCACTGCAGTACCTGGTGTTGTTGGCTCTGCCCTGAGGAGATGGAGACTCTCTCTTGACGGTGGGGCTGTGCTTAATAACAGAGGATTTCTGATCTACCAGCGCTCTGGGAGCTCGAGCACCTACAACAGACCATTCACTTTGTCAGACTGGATATAGACCTTATATGAACGTATGTGTGTCACACGAAACCTGCTTCCATGTGTCAACACCCACCCATCCACCAAACTACTCACCTCTACACACACACACACACACACACAAATAAAGTGTGAATTCATTTAAATTCTTTAGTAAAAAATTCACTTGAAAACACACATCTAATAAACACCACAGCTGAAACACAATGACTACAGCATTAAAACACAGTGCAGTCTATGGCCTCTACACAGATGTTTTAACCCTGCATCTGGTAATAGTATAGAATCAATAGAAATAAAGAGCAACACACATACAGCTTTTAACAGATTCACACACTCAACCAACTTGCAAATTTTCCTTTGCACCTCAGTATTTTGGACATTGCAGTAAGGGGGTATTACATGACTAATGATGCTAACGTTGACAGTTAGAGGACTGAAGCAGTAAGGAGAGCTACAGGCACAATGACGCTTGTTGGAGGAAACACACACACACAGGCAAAGAACACAGTGAGAAAGATAAGTGGAAGAATGGATGAGTGAGAAACAGACTGCATGGCAACAAGATACAACACAAAAAAGAACGAAAAAAGCCCTCTCAGTTCAGATGATCATACTACACACACTTAGCTGTGAGTGTATGGCAACAGTACATACACCAACACACACAAAGCAATTCAGTGTGTGTGTCTATCCAGCCTCTGTACATTCATCTGAACATTTACATGCGTAAAGCACAACCGGTGCATGGATGGTTTGTGCTGCATACAAGGGCATTAACAGATGGACATCTTCACACACATTTCACACTGTGTGGTTAGATTACACGTTCGATTGGGCCAGGGAATATTTTCAGACAAGACTTACATGCCTCACAATGAAGTCTGAATAACTATATGTCATAAAGAGGTATTTTGAATCAGTTTTCAACAGTGATAATAATAAGAAATATTAGCAACTCAGCATATTAGAATAATTTTTGAAGAATCATGTCACACTGGAGACTGAAGTAATGGCTTCTGAGAATTGATAATAAACAACATTTTAAAATATATTAAACATTATTTAATTTAAATTTGAACATTATTTCACAATATTACTGTATTTACTATATTTGAATATAGATTATGTACTGCACTTTTGATCAAATAAATGCAGCCTTGGTGATCAATAAAGAAATCTTACCAACCTTAAAATATAATGTAGTCAGTAGGTCATTATTGGATGAACACAGAAAGGATGATCAGGACCCCAGTGTGGCGCAGAACAATCTTCAATAACCATGAGTCAGTTTATTCTGCACTAACAACTGAATAATTGACCCTTTTTTCCCACAAAAACCAGCATTCATTTACAAATAAATAAAATACAGTCAAAGTAGCCACTTTCTACCTAGATCTGCACATTCTGGACAATCTCTCAAACAACTTCTTCTCAGTTTTAGGATAATCCAAAATCCAAATGCGGCCAAGAGCTTATTAGACAAGCCTCACTGAGATCTTCAATCTCTCTAACCTGCACTTTTCCCAAAATTTCTATATGCTATAGCACAAGTCCTATTCTTTCTACAACATTACAGGCCCAGTCCATCAACAGAAGACATGACGTGAACAAAAGAGTCAAATGGTTACAATCACAGTGACTGACATCTGACATTAGGTGACCGTCGGATGTGAGGAATGAGGAAGCAACAGTGGAACAGGATGCTGGGAGATGTAGCTGACTGGCTTTGGAGAAGCATGCAGCTCACGCAGCAAAGGGCAGAACCCACCTTCTCCGCTCCCCGGGCCGATCTCTGTTACAATCTCCATTAGAGAATTTAGCCCAAATACTGGACACAGAAGCCAGAATTAGTGCAGGGGGTCAAAGAGGGGACAGAGAACAACAACGGCCCAGACAGAACCAGTCCAAACATCAACCCACAACCACAAGCACCGGACACATGTACATATACAACAGAGAAAACCAGCAGAGAGCATGGAATATGAAAGAGAGAGAGAGAGAGAGAGAGAGAGAGAGAGAGAGAGAGAGA